TGAGTTATCCGCAACGGAACCATCAAGGACTAAATCATTATTGTACAAACACTATTATTGTTAGCCCTCCTCTGAGGATCCCAAAAGAAGCCACTTCCAGGTACCTACCTCTCTTAGACCTAAAGTGCAACAGTAACATTTGAGATCAGCCAATTTCATTTCATGGCTCTGTACTTGTGTCTTTATGGGAAAGTCTGCCACATCAATAAATTTTAAATAACTCTTAGTTTCAAATGTAGTTTGGACAAACACTTCATAGTTCTAAAAGGGATGAAGATAAATAACCTAAAATTTTATGATGCTTTTTCAGTGTTCATCTCCCAGTCAAGGTTGCATTGTGTAATGAGTTTGAGTATGGGCTTTGTAGTCAGAAAGATCTAGATCATAATTCACTCTGTTTAAGCAACTTACTTTCTTAAATTCATCTGTAAAATGGAAATAATTCCACTCCATAGCAGTATATACAATATTAATTCAGAGACATTTAGAGCACATGGACAATATCAGATATTTCATCAGTGCTTAATAAGTATTGACTTCCTTCCTTTTTCCATGGGTAGTGCAAATGGTTAAGCACTCGGCTACTAACCAAAAGGTTGACTGTTTGAATCCACCCAGCGGTGCTTTGGAAGAAAGCGCTGGTGATCTGCTTCCAAAAGATTACAGCTATTGAAAACCCTGTGGGGTGCAGTTCTACTCTGAAGCACAAGGGCCTGCTGTGAGTCATCAGAATCAACTCAACAGCAACTGGTTTGTGTTGACTTCTGTGTCAGTAGGTGAAACCATTGTTAATAAAATGTAAGCACACCTGGTGAAGTTGAAAGATACTTTCAAGACCCTTGAAAGAAAATAAAGTGTTTGTTGTTGTTGTTAATGATAATTGACTTAAATTTTATATTCTTGTTCATAATAATTATTGTTACAACTGCTATATATTTAGCACTTACTTTGTGCGTGAGACTGCTTTTTGCTTTTCATTCATCATTTCATTTAATCTTTGAACCAGTCCTAACAATTGGTACTATTACACAGATGAGGAAACAAGCTTAGAGAACTTGCCCAATTTTCTGATTTTTATAATATAATAATTTGCCCAAGATTTCATAACTAGTAAGCTGCAGAACCAGGATTTGAACGTAGTACAGCTTGACTTCAAAAACTTTGTTCAGTTTATCTGGAAATGACCTAATTTCACCATTGTATTTGAACGAGAGTTTTGCAGGATATATTATTCTTGGCTGGCAATTTTTTTTCTTTCAAGGTTTTATATATGTCATCCCATTGCCTTCTTGCCTGCATGGTTTCTGCC